TCTACTCTGCTCTTGTGAGACCTCACCTGCAGTGCTGCATCCACCTCTGGGGCCCCTAGCACAAGGAGGATGTGGAGCTGCTGGAGTGAGTCCAGAGGAGGCCACAGAGATGCTCCAAGAGCTGGAGCCCCTCTGCTTTGGAGACAGGCTGGGACAGCTGGGGGTGTTCACCTGGAGAAGAGAAGGCTCCAGGGAGACCTTAGAGCCCCTTCCAGTGCCTAAAGGGGCTCCAAGAGAGCTGGAGAGGGATTTTGGACAAGGGCCTGGAAGGACAGGACAAAGGGGAATGGCTTCCCACTGCCAGGGGGCAGGGTTAGATGGGATATTGGGAAGGAATTGTTGGCTGTGAGGGTGGTGAGGCCCTGGGGCAGGTTGTCCAGAGAAGCTGTGGCTGCTCCATCCCTGGAAGTGTCCGAGGCCAGGCTGAATGGGGCTTGGAGCAACCAAGTGGAAGGTGTTCCTGCCCATGCCAGGGGATTCGAACCAGATGATCTTTGAGGTCCCTTCCAACCCAAACCATTCCATGATTCCATGAATATTAGTTGACTTTAGGGGTACCAGGTCTCCGGGGGAATTAGAGGAGGGTCTGAGGCAGTACCACATTCCCAGGGGGGGTCTTCAGGGGCCATGAGGTCCCCCGACGAGTCTCTGGCGCCCCTGGTCGAGAGGAGTCCCTGGGACGGGGGAACGGCGGAGGGTACAGCAGGCGTGTGCGCTCACCGTGGGGTCCCTGACGGCACAGCCGGGGAGGAAGGGCAGACCCGGCCCCGGCCCCGGCCCCGGTCCCAGGGCCGGTACCGGTGCTGGTCCTGGTCCCGATCCTGATTCCAGTCCGGGTCCTAGTCCTGGTCCTAATTCCGTTCCCGATCCCGGTCCCGGCCCTGATCCCGTTCCCGGTCCCGCGCTCATGGCGGCGCTCCCGGCCCGGCCCCGCCGACGCGTCTCCACGGCAACCGCCGGGGCGCTCAGTGCGCATGCGCGGACCCTTCCGCGCGCCTCACTCCGCGCCTGCGCAGTTAGCGCCACGGTCCGCGGGGCGGCGGTGGCGACGTTACGGAGGGAGGTGGAGGGGTCGGACCGTCCTTACGCGGTACCGGGCGGGCGGTTCGGCCCCCGCAGTGTGGAAATAAGGACACAGAACGCGTTAATCCTCTTTTACTTGGGATTTTCCCCTCACCGCGTCCTCATAACCTCCTCACAGACTCCTCACAGCCCCTCACACCCCCTTCAAAGTCCACTCATAGCCCCTCACAGCCCCCTCACATCCCACCTTATATCCCCCCAAAAGCCTCTCACATCCCCCTCACATCCCACTCACAGCCCCCCACGCCCCCCTCAAAGCCCCTCACAGACCCCACAGCCCCTCACAAGCCCTATATCCCATCACAGCCCCTCACAGGCCCTATATACCATCACAGCTTCTCACAGCCCCTCATAGACCCCATATCCCCTCTCAGCCCCTCACAGCCTCTCACAGCCTCATAGCTCCTCACAGCCCCCCACAGCCCCCTCACATTAAAATATCTTGGACTCCAAAACAGGTGGTGGCATCCAGGCTACTTTTTTGGGAAGTTTTCCCTGCCCCGTGCAGTGCCCACGGTGAGGAGTAGCCACGGAGGGTCAAATCTATACCTAGAGTGCTTGAAACATTTTAACAGAAGCGGTTGTGCTGGTTTATTATGTATATAGTAGGTATATGAGCTGTGCAATAGTGGGGGTTTAATATGTAGCACTGATATAATCCCTCTCTTTCAAACATGAGAAAGGGGCAAAAACAAGCAGCAGGGAGACCAGCAAGGAAAAGGTGGTTGTGCAAAAGCACTCCCAAATGCAAGAGAGGAAAGAGAGCTAAATCCATTACCATGGAAGAGCAAAGTTGCGTGTTGCCCAAAGAAGTTGTGGATTTCCCATCCCTGAAGTGTTCGAGGCCAGGTTGGATGTGGCTTGAGCAACCTCGTCTAGTGGAAGGTGTCCCTGCCCATGGCAGGGGGGTTGGAATGAGATGATCTTTAAGGTCACTTCCAACCCAAACCATTCTATGATTCTGTGATTCTATGAAAAAAAAAAAAAAAAAGAGGCTTTTTGTGTGTCTTTCCCTTGTTCCCTTTATCAGCAGCACACAAGACGAGCCAGGCTGCGATCCAAGGGCAGGCAGCAGATCGAGGGTTTTGTAAGCAGAAGTTAAGCGGGGAGAAATGCAGCCAAACCGTCTGTCTGAGCACGGTGTGGGAGAGAGAAGAAAGCCAGCCGGTGGGAGATAAAGAATGAGGCTGATGAGCTTAGAAAGGAAAATAATGGATTGGAGGCCAAGCAGGGCTGGAAGGGTTGGACCTGGAAGACAGCAAAGCTGCTGGTGTGATGGCTGACTCAAAGGCAGGTGCTGGGACTGAGCATTTGCTCTGATTTTCTCATGATGCGATATCCAGGCAGTGTTTAGCAGGGAGCAAGGCCTTGCTCAGAGAAGAAAACTTGCCTTCGTGTGCCAGGGATCATCCCTGAGGATAGTGACATCAAGTTTGTGACAAGGCTGTGTGTCACAGTGCCCCTGCACAGACTGTAACGATGATGGGCTGAGAGAGCTGCGGATGTTCAGCGTGGAGAAGGCTCCAGGGAGACCTTAGAGCCCCTTCCAGTGCCTAAATAGGCTCCAAGAGAGCCAAAAAGGGATTATTTACAAGGGTATCTGGTGATAGGACAAGGGACAATGGTTTTAAACTGACAGAGGGCAGGTTTGAATTAGGTATCAGGAATAAATTCTTCACCTGTGAGGGTGGTGAGGCCCTGGCACAGGTTGCCCAGAGAAGCTGTGGCTGCCCCATTCAGGGAAGTGTTCCAGGCCAGGTTGGACGGGGCTTGGAGCAACCTGGTCTAGTGGAAGGTGTCCCTGCCCATGGCAGGGGCTTGGAACTAGATGAGCTCTAAGGTCTCTTCCAGCTCAGACCATTCTGTGATTCCATGAAAGGAAGCTTAAGGAAAACCATAGCAGAAGCTGGTATTTTCTTAGGAATAGTGACTGTAAAGCAGGAGAGAGAAGAAATGAGGAATAAAGAATTGAAGTGCAATTCAGAAGATCTGGATTCAGCTCTGACAACTTCTGCACAGACAAATCTGAATTACCAATGTTAAGGTGGTAAGATGTTAGCTTCCTACATCCCTGCTGTCTACCCATGAAAAGGAAAAGGGATTCTTAATCAGGCTCTGCTTTCGTGGCACTGGAGGACACAGATGGAGACAACTCGCCCTCTGGTGGGTAAAAACACAACCATACAGAAGCCTTAGTCTCTGTGTTATATTAAGAAATCCTTAAAAGTGTTGGTTAATAGAAGGAAAAATATAAGATTTTTAGAGGTTTTGAGAACTGAAATTCACACAAGTGTACATCCTGGGGGATGAGGTATGAATGTGATCACACATTATCCTCCTGGACAAGGCTGGTAAGTTGAGGACCTGGAGCGATGTGACAGAAAGGGATCACAAAATCAACAATTTTCCACTGTGATGGAAAAATCCCTAAAACTGGGATCCCTAAATCTGGGAAGTCAGTGTGCTGGGGTGTCTCTCCGAAGTGTGTGTAAAGAACTCAGGCAGTGTGGGGACTGAGCATGATGAATCAGAGCCATGTGTGCATCTGCAGGGCTGCAATCTGGGGATCATAGGAAGATGTGGTGGAATGGCTCCCATGACCTGAGTGTTGCAATGGAGGGAGACAGACAGTCTTTTTAAGGGCACCAAGAAGGTGAGGAGGGGGAGTTGCCCTTTGGTGAGACAACAGCTGGAGTGCATGGAGTTTTGCCTGGATGAAGACAGCCTTGGCTGCAGTAAACATGAGATGGTGGAGTTCAGGATCCTGAGGGGAGGGAGGAGGGTAAAAAGCAAATTCACAGCTCTGGACTTCAGGAGAAGAATTTGGTCTCTGCTGAGATCTCCACCTCATTGGTAGAGTCCCATGGGATAAGGCTTGAGGAGGAGTCACCTCCTCCAAGCTCAGGAGCGGACCATTCCAACAAGCAGGAAGCTGGGCAAAAATGCCATCAGGCCTGCATGGATAAACAGGGAAAACTCAAACACAGAAGCAGCATAGAGAAGGTGAAATCAAGGATATGGATAGGAAGGAATTTGAGAGAGCAGAGATGAAGAAAGGCAAAGCCCAACTGGAATCTGTCCAGGGGTGTCAAAGACAACCAGAAAGGTTTCTATAGGTGCATGGATGACAAAAGGGAGACTAGGGAAAATGTGGGCCCGTTACTCAGCAAGATGTGGGAGCTGGTTGCACAGAACACAGAAAAGCCTTCCTCACCTCAGTATTTACTAACTAGCCTTCAGGAATCCCAGGTCCTTGAGACCAGTGGAAAAGGCTGGAGCAAGGAATACGTACCTTGGTAGAAGACCATCAGGTCAGGGAATATTTAAAGGATCTTATCAATGTATATAAATCCCTGAAGCTCTGGAGGGTGCAGAGAAGATGGAGCCAGGCTCTGTGTCAGGTCCCAGTGCCCAGGACCAAAGGCCATGGGCACACACTGGAACAGGAGGTTCCTCTGAACATCAGGAAACACTTTTTTACTCTGAGGGTGGCCAAGCACTGGCACAAGTTGCCCAGAGAGGTGATGGTGTCTCCATCCTTGGAGATCTTCAAAATCCATCTGGACATGGACCTGGGCAGCCAGCTCTGGGTAGCCCTGCTTGAGCAGAGCCAGGTGACCCCCAGAGTCTCTTCCAAACTGAACCATTCCATGGCTGTGGGTGATGGAACTTAAATCCCTCTAATCAGTGTCAGGGCAGCCATTCTGCACTTCCCTTGTGGAAAGGTAATGAAATCCAATAGTTATCGTGAAACCTGGAAAGTGCTTTGCGATGCACAGATGAAACCACTCCCTATTGTTCATTATTATAATTATTATCCACTCTAATATATCCTCTCCATAATTATTATCACCTTTTCTTCCTAATGGCTCATAACCTTCTGTAGTTGTGCATCTGGGAATTTCACACCACACAAATTGTTTTGCTTTCACAGATTTTTTTTTTTCACTAAGGTTTTTAAATAAAGATCAGTACAGTACAAAGCTTAAAATATTGTCAATGTTTTCAACAATACAAAGTCAGCAGATGGGAGTTGGGAAGGGAATGGTTAATATGGAACACTCATACCCTTCCTTGTTTCCCAGAGGAAAAAAAAATACAAACTCTTTTGTACTTCTGTTTAGTAACAAACAGTGCTTAAAAATAATCTTGTCAGTAAAAGTTGTAAATTGCAAGGCACACGAGGAACCTGTCCTTGCCTCGTTACACAAATTATTAGGCATAAATACAAATTTAAGGCACCTGTCTCCATCCTCCTCTCTTGCTCCATACAGTGAGGAAATCCTGTCAGTGGGAAATAGCTGTTAAGAGCAACCATGGACCAGCAGACAGCAAAGGGGCTGCCACTGATCCTCAGGTTCCTTCAGGATGAATCCCAAAAAAGAAACAGCATAAGGCACATTGGGATGAATTCTTGGGAGTTGTCCTGGTTGCAAAATCTGCAAGAATACTGTCTCAGGACAAGAGACTCCTGGGAGAGAGGATTAGAACCTTGGTCCCTTTGGCATCTCAGGTGTGCTCAACCTTTGGTGGTCAGCTCTTCACCAAAACCTGGCCATGGGTACATCCTTCCCGACCTTGCCTCCTGAGGAATACCAGAATGGAAGGAGACATGCTCCAAGCATTGAGCCCAAGGAAAAGGCCTGAACAGCTCCCAGACAACTGAGTATTTATCACAGTGACACTTTTGCTCTCTCTGGATCCAGCCCTGGTCTCCTCTGGATCAACGGCAGGGCTTCCAGAGGGCATCCACAGCCACTTCCCAGTTGAGGCCCAGCAGACTGCACAGCATATGGAGCCTGCCCAGGTAGGCAGCCAGGTGTACAAGGCACAGGGATGAAGGAAAGAAATGAGCTGATTGGAGGGGGAGGAGGATGGAGACAGGGATGAAGGAAGCTCCAGTGTTGGCGAGCCCCTTGTGACACAAGGGCGCATCCTCACAGCAGCACAGATCCGTATGGCAGGTCCCTGCCCCATCCACCCATCATAGTAACCAGGAGGTCAGCTCCAGGTGGGAATGCAGGGCCACCGTGGGGACGGGAGCGGCGTCACCTGAGGGGAAACGGGAGAGTGTGCAATGACACCTCCACTGTCACACAACTGCTCCAGAGGAGAAGTGTCACTTCTGCTCAACCAGGGAGAAGGCATATGACCAAAAACACCTTGGAAAAGAGCCATGTGGGCACCTCTCCGTGTCCCTGAACTAGACAGCATTACTGTACTCACCCTCCTTTGACACGGGCAGGACATGTCATCTTAAACCCTTAGAGAAGGAGACACCTGGGTGATCCCTTCCTTTGGTACCAGTGTAACTCCAGGTAGCAGCAGAGCAGGTTTGTTATTAGCAGCCATGCCAAATCCCTCTCCGTTTTATCCCAGAAATGAGCTCTGGACCAGCCTGATTTACACCTCTTCCAGCCTTATTCTACACTCAGTGCCTTATTCTGCCCTACCTACCCCAAAAGGCTGTGAGAAAAATCTCTGCTCCCACAGGAAGCCCTTCCCCAAACTGGGTGGAGACCCACAAGTAAAGCCAGAGGGGCCATGGAGGGAACAGCCCATCAGTGCAGCTGGGCTAACTGAGCTGCCAGCTGCCATGCAAGGAGGGACTGCTGCTGGCCTCCACTCCAGCCCTTCCCTGCAGGCAGCAGTGTTGTCCAAGTGAGCTGGCTCAGAGTTAAAACCAGCCCAAATTACTGACATTTTTTCAGTAGGATTGGTTTCCGGATGCTCCGTCTCCCGGCACCAGCTCCCTCCGTGGTGAGATGTGCATGGGAAGGGGTATAATGAGGTGCAAGTGAGACCATTCCCACTTGCCACTCCCCTGAGACAGATTTACTGTTAGGTCAGCATGGCCATACTATCAAAAACACCAGAAGAAATGAAGTAATTAACTTCTAAAATGGACTGGATGTGAACCAGGAGGCCAGACTGATGAGAAAGGTTGGAGTAGATGACCTCCTGAAGGCTTTCCTATGATTTCTTCTCCTATACTCCCAACTTACTTCCCTCCTCTATATTTAATTTGTCTATAGGGCCATGAGTTCCAAATTTATCCACAAAACACAGGACCAGCAAAGATCTATTTATAGATCCTCTCTCTGGCCCACCTTGCTCCTCCAGCAGCACAGCACTGTTTCCTTCAGGTGAATCTTAACCCAACTAGGAGGCTCTGCAGATAGAAAATCCAAAGGCAAAGCCTTTCTGGATAATAAATCACGTGCACAGGCATGTACACAAAACACAGACACACCTCAAGAGCTAAACCACAGATCAAGTGCAGAAATCAGTGCTTGTCCTCACAAACCATATCCCCAACCCTACACTCTGCCTGCTCAGAACCAGCAATCACAATACATTTGCCTGCCCTTGGGTTCACTGAGACAAATCCATGGCTGGAATAGATCCCATGGATTCCTTGGTTTCAGCATGGATTTATACCTCCTCGGTGGCTCCATATCTGAAATTCCCCCCCAAGCAAGCACAGAAGAGACTCATCTAGTGGGGGTCACAGTAACCCAACCTTTGCTACACCTTGGACAGGACTGACCCGTGGACTTCAACTGTCCCTGACCACTATCTTTGCTACTCCACACAGGAATCACCAAGTCCCAAGGACAAACCCATCCCAAGGTTGCACAGGACCCTAATCCTGTCACCCTGCTCCTGCCTTTTGCTGTTCTACCTTCATCCAGTGCTGATAAAAACACGCCAGAGTCACAATCCAATTGGTCAGAGAAAAGCAACCCTGGTTTTTCAAGGTCAGCTTTCCCACAAGGCTCACCAAGGACTGTTTGGTGTCCCAAAAAGCACCATTAAGAGGAGAATAAAGACTCCTTCACCTTCATGCCCTCTTGGCCATGACCACAGTGGGACTGTTGGAGGATCAGAGCCTTTCCTGCATCAAACAGGCCACATCCAAGTTACTCTACACTGCGTGGACATTGCAGGTCAGTCAGTCAGCCTCCCTAGACAGATGATACAGACCCAGTTTGTCCCAGAGGACCCCAGGTCAGGCCTAAGTCTCCAAAGATGTTTTGCCAAAGCCACCTCAGCAACTTGGCATTGACATACTTGACAAGGGGACTGTAGAGAGAACTTGGAACAGAAAATGGACTGTGCCAGCCACTGTGCCACACGTGCCCTCACAGCTGAACCCTAGAAATGTAAACTCCCCCTGAAACCTTCCTACTGCCTTTCATAGGAACAGTTCTCCCACAGATATGGCAAAGCCCAGAGAGATCATCACATCCAGCTGAGTTCCTCATGGAGTTCTGAGCCCTGGCAGTCTCTTTTACAGTCTCACAGCCTTCAGGCTGCCCTCCCTGACACTGAGCAGTGTATCACCCCCAACTTTACCAGAATGAACAAGGAACCTCTGCCTATTCCAGCATCCTCGGTTCAATGACTTGTTCTGCCTTAAAACACTCCACGTCCCCCCTCCCCAGATGGCAAAAGGCAATCCCTGCTGTGAAAGTGCATCCAGCATGAAGTGTCCAGCCCTCCACCCGAGTCCAGGGTCCCGGTTAGTCACAGCGTGTTAGGCAAATAAGACAGCTGCGTCTCTAATATTTTATGCCCCCTTTTTGTTGATTTTGTCTGGTGATGCCATGCCCATCACATCTGTGACTCTCAGGAGTCCTTTGTAGCCAGGCTGGCCTTGATCCTGCGCCGCAGGACGTAAGCTGTGATGGCACTACAAGCCACCAAGCCAAAAAAAGAGATGCAGGAGAGATAAACGGTGAAAGGCCCGTGTCTCTTCAGGAAAATCTCCTGCCTGTTCTTGTAATCCAAAAGAATGGCCTCCAGCTGTGACAGGGTGCAGATGGCCAGGAAGGTGTGGAAGATCTGGTGGGCATGGCCAACGATGTCACAGGAGCCAGGGAAGTACTTCTCAGGGACGGGGCAAGAGAAGAAATAAGCGCTGATAAGGAAAAACAGTATCTGGTACGTGTGGTACCAAGCAGCATCTTCCTCACAGCCCCCCAGGTGACACACAACCACCCGGTGGGCCACGGGACTGATATCCAGGATGAAGGCGAGCCCGGCTGGGATCACCTGGCACATCTTCCTCATGATGGGGTAAGGCCGTCGGTACCGGTACTTGGCATAGCAGCAGCCGGCACAGGATAACCAGCCACAGAAAGCTGCTGCCGGCAGGAAGAAAAGCCAGAACTTGTCGTACCAGGCTTGGTCGGAGCTGTAGTAGAAATGAGCCAGGGCACTGCCATACTGGTAGATGCTGACGCCAACATAGTCCACGAAGTAGAAGGTGTAGTGGTACAGCTCCGACTTGGACTGCAGCAGGTGGGCCAGGAGGCTGCAGGTCAGGTAGGTGACAGAGGAGAGGACAAAGATGAGCAGAGGCAAGGACCACGCGTCCACGGGCAACTGCTCAGCCTCCACAAACGTCTTGAACCTCAGCAGCACGGCCAGCGCCGCCAGCAGGTGGGTCCAGACATTGACCACCTCGTTGTGCTTCTGGAAGAGGCTGAGGAAGTAGTAGCGCCAGTCCTGGCCGGTGGGGCGGTACCCGGAGTGGATGTAGGGCTCGCGGAACAGCTGCGGCACCTCACACTCCTTCACCGTGCACGGCATCTTGGGCAAGCCATCCTCCAGCAGCCGGGGCAGCCGGCTGAGGTGCTGCCCGCTGAGGGACAGCGTGCTGATCCGCTCCAGGATGGCTGTCATCCCGCTGCCGGGCACCAGGGAATGTTGTCTTTGTGCTCTGAGGGGAGGGGAGAAAGAGGAAATGTTAATGGTGATGCATTGCTGACATTCCTTGTGGGATTAACCATGGCACCATCAAGACGCAGGCCCTGAGAGGCCCTTCCAGTGCCTAAAGGGGCTCCAAAAGAGCTGGAGAGGGACTTTGGGCAAGGGCCTGGAGGGACAGGACAAGGAGGAATGGCTTTAAACTGATAAAAATTGTAAATTTAGACTAGATATAAGGAAGAAATTCTTCCCTGTGAGGGTGGTGAGGCCCTGGCACAGGTTGCCCAGAGAAGCTGTGGCTGCCCCATCCCCGGAAGTGTTCAAGGCCAGGTTGGATGGGGCTTGGAGCAACCTGAGATAGTGGAAGGTGTCCCTGCCCATGGCAGGCGGTTGGAACAAGATGGTCTTAAAAGTCCCTTCCAATGCAAACCATGCCATGATTCTATGACTATGAGGTGAGTTTAGGGGTACCAGGTCTCCTGGGAGTTAAAGGAGGGTCTGAGAGAGTACAGGATTCCCAGGGGGTACCTGTTCCCTGGCCAGTAGACCTAAATTCATTATGGAGAAGGATGGCACAGCCCTGTCCCTGCAATTCAGCCTATGTCAGATGGGAACAGCAGTGTCACAAACGTGACCCTCCTCCTCACTTCCTCGGGCTTGGAGCATGTTCAGGAGGAGCCAGGAGCTGCCAACAAGGGGGTGCAAGAAGCACTTGATTTGTGAAGGGGATTTTTCACCCCTTGGCCCAGAACAAAATGCTCAGGGACAAAACTGGGATGTAATTCATCATCTAAGGAATAACCTGCCTGTCTGCACGTGAGTGAAGAGGTCCCAGCCAAATTATGGAGGTTGCCAAAAAGCTTGGCTTCCCCACCAAACAACTTGCACATGGGTTACATGCCTGGGGCTGCTGGCAAAGGGAGAAGTGGAGAAATCCAGAATCCCAAACCTGCAGCCCTCATTCCTCCACATGTAAGAAACATCAGGACTGGGAGGTGATGGAGAACAAGAGGCACTGCATCCAGGCTGGCTGCAGTTTGGGTACAGCATTGGAGCTTTGGGAGGGGCTGGCAGAAATGTGTCTGCATGTTCAGAGCAGCCAAACCCAGTGCGGGGCACTTCTCTGCCTGCTCTACTCCTTGGCAACTTCCAGAGTTCCTAAGCTCTGTCTGGAAAGATTCAGATTCAGGGCACAGCAGGATCCTAATGTCTGGAGAAAACCTCCCAGCCCCCTGTTCCCCAATAACCTGGATATTTGTCTTCCCTTCCAGTGTTTATGCCACACAAAACAGAGAAGAATTCATCACAGATGCCCATGCTTGAACCAAAATTAATGCTGGAGCAGCCCCACCAGACTCTGCAGGGCTGTGGTTATTCCTGTGCAGGTTTGCAGGAGTGGGATCTGACTCCTAATCTTACACACACCCAACTGGAGCTGCAGCGGATGGAGATGGCCAAAACTAAATGCATGCAAATAATATTTTGCCTGAGTGTAGGAAACTGTGTATTTTTCTCCTGGTTGCATCAGATACCAGCTGTGGCCAGAGGTCAAACAGAGCAATAGTTTGTGTGGAAACCTTGTCTAGTGGAAGGTGTTGGAACTAGATGAGCTTTAAGATCCCTTCCAACCCAAACCACTCTGTGATTCTATGATGGGAGACCCATGCCAGGCTGGTGATACACAGGACAGGACAGTGTCAAACACCACGAGAGAGTTTCTGAAAGCAGGGAAGTGGGACCTGGCAGTCCCAAAGTGAGACAACACGAGCAAAGTCAGGGCAGACTCTGAACCAGGTGACAAGTCCCACTTCCTCTTGCAACCCACAACCTCTGATAAGAGACAAAATATTTTCATGTTGCTTCCTTACTCTAGCAGATGGTAATTCTCATAATTAAGTTTCATTTTCCAGCAAATTCTTTCTGCCTTGCACTTTCTAGGCTTTCTCCATCAGCACCTCTCAAGGCTGGTTTTCTTCTTCCCTGTCTGCCTTAGGGGAATTTGTCTGCTGAGTTTGATGGAGCTGCCTTAGCCACAAGGAAAAATGGTCCCTGAAAATGCTGTTTTAGTTTCACAGATGTGTAAGACTTAAAAGAGCACACTTGCTGGGGGGCTGATGTTGTGCACACTCACAGATTTTGTTTCTCTCTTGAGGGTCTGCAGGTCTGACCTGTGATGCAACACAGTTCATTCAGCAGCTTGTATGTTCCTGTGGAGTTACACGCCAAAATTTAGGGAGGCAAGGCAAGTTTTGACTCTGGGGAACTCCTGTGAGGGGATGGTGTGAAAAAGAGCCATCACTCCCTCTCCTCAGTCCTAACGTACAGCCAGTCTCTTCTGGCTCCTTGCAGACAATGGAGAAAGAAAGGCTCACTCATAAATCATGGAATGGTTTGGGTTGGAAAGGACCTTGAAGATTATCCAGTTCCAATCCCCTGCCATGGGCAGGGACACCTCCCACTAGTCCAGGTTGCTCCAAGCCCCATCCAACCTGACCTTGAACACTTCCAGGGATGTGGGGCATCCACAGCTTCTCTGGGCAACCTGTGCCAGGGCCTCACCACCCAACTTTCATCTAAACTACTTTAGACTTGAGCTTCAGCATGAGGCACAGCCCAAACAAGAACATCCCTGTCTGTGCAACACTGCAGTACTCACCCTCTATTGTCCCAGATCTCCTCTGGATGATCTGGGCAGAGACAGGCTGGAGGCTGAGCACAGTGGGGTAGGAAGGACATGGAGATTTTATGGATGTCTGTACTAAGACAGCTTGATTTCCTGGTCTGGGTGCACAGACAAGAGCTCCCTTCCCACACCAACTGCATCCCGTCACTGCAGCACCAAGGCACCTCCTCTCTCCAGAGGATGTTCCCCAGGCCTCATGCACAGGTTTTGCCCCGTGCAGAGGTGACAGTACAGACACTACCGACTCTGAAGTGCTTTGTGTGTCCCAAGCTCCTCTGCCCTGTCCATTAACGTGTCATAATGTGTTCTACACTGCTCCCAGCATTTGCTCCATTGTAACTCAGCAAGAGGGCTTGGATCCCTGCTCAACAGCTCCCAGTTTCCCTTTAACTAAGCATGGTCCAAAGATTTGGGCCTACTTCAGGGAGCTCAGGACTGACTCTTCATCCCAATTCATCCCACCACAATGCTGGAAAGCCCTCCAAAAACAGTATTAAGCACTGATGGGGATCATCAGATTAAATTAGATATTAGGAATTTACATTAACAGATTAGACATTAGGAATTTAGATTATTTAGATTAGATATGAGGAAGGAATTCTTGGCTGTGAGGCTGGTGAGGGCCTGGCACAGGTTGCCCAGAGAAGCTGTGGCTGCCTCATCCCTGGAAGTGTTCAAGGTCAGGCTAGACAGGGCTTGGAGCAACCTGGGATAGTGGAAGGTGTCCCTGCCCATGGCAGAGGTTGGAACACAATGAGCTTTACGGTCCCTTTCAACCCAAGTCATTCTGTGATTTTAGGATCATGGTGGTGAGGCACAAGGAGAGAGAACATGCTGGAGCTCCTGTGTGGAGGACACAGACTAACGCTAGAATGGATCCCAGGATAACAGGAACTGGAAACCAGCTCTGATACAGCACAGACCTGCACAGGGAGCAGGGTCAAAGCACTCATGTCCTGAAACCTGCCCGTAAAGAGCAAAGGCAGCCAGAAGACACACAAGAAGGCGGCAATCAAGCCTGGGAATATGGATGCCCAGGAATGCAAGGGGCACATCACCCCTTCCACAGTGCATGGCCTGCCTGCTTTGCATGCTGACAGGGGTATGAGGGAGACAGGCAGCGTCTGTCCCAGGCACAGCCTGGCTCCGGCTTGCACCGCGTGTGCCCGTGCCAGGATTTTGCCACGGTCTCTCATCCCCAGAGCTCAGCGAACACGGCTCTGAGAGGTTACACACTGCACATCTCCCCAACAGCAGAGACTATTCCAGGCAGGCTTTCATAGCTGGAAAATGCCAGTTTTTTAAACAGGCTGAGGGGCAGAGATTTCCAAAATAACAGCCCGAAATCACAAGAAACACATCTGATACGCAGCATTAAATCAGGAACCTGGTGGACGGCTTATTTTAAACCTTGTGACATTAACGAGTGCGAGCGAGTTGGCAGTTTCCAGCGATCATGTGATGGACAAAGCGACGAGCAATTAACGTTAGAAAAGGGAGAGAAAGGAGGAAAAAAAAAAACAACAAAAAACCACCAACCCAGAAACCCAAGGTCAGCACTGGCTGTTTCACTTTCACAGAGCCCTTATTCTTTTCCCTTCTCGGGGGCGTAGGAGCAGCTGAAAGCCACATTCATCGTCGGGGTGTCTCGCTGAGATTCCGTCCTCACCCCCCATCTCCGGGGGATTCAGTTATTTTGGCTGCTCCCAATTAATAGCAACCAAGTATCGTTTGTTCACGGAGGGAGCTGGAAGGCGAGAAGGAGGGCGTGGATGATGGCCAGGCTGGATCATTACAGCCACAATAAAAAACCCCGGCACAGGAGGAGAAGGATCCCGTTCCAATTTTTTCTCTCCCTTTTGAAGAGAGTAATTGGAAACCCGAGCTTTTTCCCAGCTCTTTTGCTTTTTGGTCACAGTCTGATGGAAGGGTTTGAATGAGAAAATTTCCTACAGAGTACGGCTGATTTTCCCACCGGTCTGGCCTCAGCCTCCACTGTCTGGGACTGAGTCTGTACCAACGTGATATATTTGTTTGCAGACTAGTATTCAGGCATCAGAGGTTTACACAGGCTCCCAGAAAGGCACTAATTCCTGGTAAACAAAGCAGGGAGAACTGGGGGAACTCAGCTGTGGGGAAGTCTTTAATAAATGCATTGCATTTAAAATAGAAAAAAAAAAAAAAGTGGCTGTGGACAGCATGAAAATAACAGCAGTGGCCAACTGACTGGTTTGGAGAGCTGCAGGTGATTCATTCCTGAATTCCTCTCTTCTGGCAGTTGAGCAAAAGGCCCTGGAGGGACTCCAGGTCATTTTGAAGCCTGGGGTTTT